GATCTTTTCAAAAAACCAACTCCTGGATTTATTGATTTTTTGAAGGGATTTTTGTGTCTCTATCTCCTTCAGTTCTGCTCTGATCTTAGTTATTTCTTATCATCTGCTTACTTTTGAATTTTTTTTGATCTTCCTCCTCTAGCCCTTTCAATTTTGATGAATAGAGTCTCAATTTTAGATCTTTCTTTGTTTCTCATGTGGGCATTTATTGCTATAAATTTCCCTCTCAACACTGCTTTAAAAGTGTCCCAGAGCTTCTGGTAAGTTGTGTCTTCATTCTGATTGGTTTCGAAGAACATCTTTATTTCTGCCTTCATTTTATTGTTTATCCAGTTGTCACTCAGAAGCAAGTTGTTCAGTTTCCAAGCGGTTGTGCAGGTTTGAATGTGTTTCTTGATCCTGAGTGCTAGTCTGATTGCACTGTGGTCTGATAGACTGTTATGATTTCTGCTCTTTTGCATTTGCTGAGGATTGATTTGCTTCCAATGATGTAGTCAATTTTAGAGTAAGTGAAATGTGGTGCTGAGAAAAATGTATATTCTGTTGATTTGGGTTGGAGCATTCTGTATATGTCTATTAGGTCTGCTTGGTCCAGCTCTGCATTCAAGTCCTGGATATCCTTGTTAATTTTCTGTCTCGTTGATCTGTCTAATATTGACAGTGGAGTGTTGAAGTCTCCCACTGTTATTGTGTGGGAGCCTAAATCTCGTCTTAGGTCATTAAGAACTTGCTTTAGGTATCTGGGTGCTCCTGTGTTGGGTGTGTATACATTTAGGATAGTTAGCTCTTCCTGTTGGATTGATCCTTTTACCATTATGTAGTGTCCTTCTTTGTCTCTTTTGATCTTTGTTGGTTTAAAATCAATTTTGTCAGAGACTAGGATTGCAACCCCTGCTTTTTTTTTGTTCTCCATTTGCTTGGTAAATCTTCTTTTATCCCTTTATTTTGAGTCTATGTGTGTGTATGTGAGATGGGTTTCCTGAATATAGCACACTGATGGGTCTTGACTTTTTATCCAGTTTGCCAGTCTGTCTTCTGACTGGGGCATTTAGGCTGTTTACATTCTATGTTAATATTGTTACATGTGAATTTAATCCTGCCATTTGTTACTGGCTGACTTTCTTTCTTGTTGATTCATTTTCTTCATTGCATTTTTGGTCTTTGCCAACTGGTTTGCTTTTGCAATGACTGGTACTTGTTCCTTTCTGTGCTTATTGTTTCTTTCAGGAGCTCTTGTAGGGCAGGTCTGGTGGTGAGGAAATCTCTCAGTAATTGCTTGTCCGTAAAAGATTTTATTTCTCCTTCACTTATGAAGCTTAGTTTGGCTGGATATGAGATTCTGGGTTGAAAGTTCTTTTCTTTAAGGATGTTGAATATCGGCCCCCACTGTCTTCTGGCTTGTAATGTTTCTGCCAAGAGATCCACTGTGAGTCTGATTGGCTTCCCTCTGTGGGTGACCTGACCTTTCTCTCTGGCTGCCCTTAGCATTTTTTCCTTCATTTCAACTCTGATGAATCTGACAATTATGTTGCTCTCCTTGAAGAATATCTTTGTGGAGTTCTCTGTATTTCTTGAATTTGAATGTTGGACTGCCTTGGTAGGCTTGGGAAGTTCTTCTGGATAATATCCTGTAGTGTGTTTTCCAGCTTGGATTCATTCTCCCCATCATATTCAGGTACACTGATCAAGCATAGATTAGGTCTTTTCACATAATGCCATATTTCTTGGAGGCTTTGTTCATTTCTTTTCACTCTTTTTTCTCTTGTCTTCTCTTCTCCTTTTATTTCATTGAGTTGATCTTCAACCTCTGATATCCTTTCTTCTGCTTGATTGATTCAGCTATTAAAACTTGTGTTTGCTTCACATAGTTCTCATGCTATGTTTTTCAATTCCATCAAGTCATTTATGTTCTTCTCTAAGCTGGTTATTGTAGTTAGCATTTCATCTTTTTTCAAGGTTTTTGGTTTCTTTGCATTGAGTTACAATGTGTTCCTTTAGCTCAGAAAAGTTTGTTATTATCCACCTTCTGGAGCCTGTTTCTGTCAATTCATCACACTCCTTCTTGGTCATGTTGTCATCTCATGTTGTTGAGGAGTTGTGATTCCTTGAAGGAGAAGATGTGTTCTGGTCTTTGATGGTTTCATCTTTTTTGTTCTATTTGTTTTTTTTCCCATTTTCGTGGATTTACCTGACTGTGGTGTCGGGGAGCTGCTTGATGAGGTTGCTTGTCTGCCTGTAGAGGCACTACTGGGTTTCTAGGGACTCCTTCAGGTTGCTAGGGAAGCTTCCAGTGTCTTTTTTGTTTACACTGGAGGTTTAGGCCCTCCTCTTCCCCTGACCTGGTGGTGCTGCTGGGTGGTCAAGAATGCAGTCCTGTTGCTACATAGGCTTCCTGTGTTTTTTGTTAAAACATGTAGCCCAGTCCCACCCCTCTAATGGTGGACTGTACCCTTCCTCCACTGGTCTGGATCATTTTGGGTTCAGCTCAGACTGTGGCACTGGCTGTGCCTCCTGCTAGAGTCAGAGCTTCAGCCCTCTGGGGTTTGTTGGGGATGGTAGGGACCTGCCCGGCTGCACCAGGCCATCTCCCCCTTTAAGCTTCCTCTCTCTCCCGTCATGGGGTAGGGGCCCACCCAGCTGCTCCCGCTTACAGCTCTCTCTCTCTCTGGGCAGGGCGAGGGGGCGATAGGTCAGTCCACAGGCTCTCCCAGTCACCTTTTGGGCTTATGTGTCTGTTTAGGTCTGTGCACCAATCCTGGACACCATCCTGGATTATTATTCAACTCTGTGCTTGTAATTCCCGGCACCTGACTGGCAAAGATCCTCTGTTCTGTGTATTGCTGAGGCTTTGGGGGAAGTGCTATATCTGGACCAGAGTGCCAGAGGGGGAGCCTCCGACTTGCTGGTCAGATGCACTTTCTGGGTGAAGCAGCACCTCTCCCCACCTAGGTCTGCCCTGCATGGGGGCATCAGATGGGCATATGCCCATCAGATCAGACCCATTGAAATGCACCTGGTATATCAGTTGGAGCTAGGAGATCTCTGGATTTCTGCATCTCTCTCACTGGGTGTTGTGGGCCAGAGTTGTATCTAATCGACCATCTTGGAGAGACCTAGCATAAATATTTCTAAAGAGCATTTTATTCTGGAGAAAACAATTACTCTCTGCATAGTCTTATTATACAAAATATCAATTGTACCTAGTATTTATGAAAGTTTTCATATCAACCTAGACTTTTTTTTTTTAAATTTGGAGGTAAATTCCCTTGAGACATTATTGGGTTCAGGGTTTGGATTTTTTGTACAAATGTCCTATGGCTTCAGTTATGACATAGAAAAACAATTTCATTAGGTTTCAACCTCAGTACATACACATCTATCTACCTACTTGCCTAATGTCAGTTTATTAATTCACAGTGATTTTGAGCTCATAATGCCCAAGCTTGTGAATAATATATAGGAATTTTTGCCTAATTCTCAAAATCTTTGTAAACCATTGCTACTAATAAATTAGTAAAAGAAATTCCTTGAAATGATTTTGGGAGTCCTGTGGATTTTTAAAAATATATTTTTTGACCTACCGTATGAAATATATAGGTGAAGCTAATTGGAAACAAAGATTAGCTATATTAAACAATGATTTTAATATCAAAGCATACAAATATCAATCAAAATGTCAAGCGTCCTACTAAAACTATACAATTTTTCATATTAGAATTTGGCAGAGTCCATCAAAGGGAAAACATAAGTGAAATATAAAATGAGTTACTGCATCAGGCTCACTAAAAAATACTTAAAAGATTTTATTTTCAAAATTCCTTAAGAAATTAGGAACCGTTTTGTTTCTCTGGATAGCATTAGTGTTTTAAAGAAAAATTAATGAGTTCTATAGGGCTCTCTTTGGCCAAAGTGGGTGATAAACTTAATTGATGAAGTCGGTATGCAGGTGAAATACCTTTGCATATCAAAGCTACTATAAATTTTTAAATGCTTTCATATGCATGCTTCTAATTTTTGAAGGGACATTTCAAATGCAGAGCAAATGGCCTAATCATTTCAATCAACTGTTTTAAGAACAGAAATGTAAATCATTTGAATAATCCCTTGGAGTTCACATTAACAAAACATGTTAATACAGTCAATCTCCATCCCTTTTCCTAGATGCTTCTGCAGAAATAGAACTGTCACTAGTATTAGCTTTCTCTGTGAGCACTAGTATGCACAACTGTAGACTCCATGTCTCTTTCAGAGATTATAAACAAAGACTAACAATTCTGGAGATAAGAGGTTTCTCTCCTTTCTCAGTTAATTCTGCCTTCGAAATACATATAGTGAAACTGTTTTCAGAAAGACAAACAGAAGTACGCTTACTGGATTTCTTTTTTGTAAAGATGGAGAAAAAGCACTTTATAATATCATTGTCTTTCACTGTATTCACTGTACAATAGTAATTGTTGTAATTAAGAATATCTTTTGAACTGTAAAATATATAGAAATGTTCAAAAGGAAGAAAAGCGTGCAATTTTCAAGAGACATAGTTGTGTTCAATTTTTATTCAGAACTTCTTTATTACACTTAAATTTAATGATTATTGCCTTCTTTGCATCTTAGAGTCATTTTAATAAGTTTTTTTATAAGTTTCACCAATTTATTGTTTATTATGAATGTACTATTTCCCTCATTATACTTTTAGTACTATGTGCCATTGAGCATTTGTTATCCAAGATCTATAAAATAATAAAGTATTTAAATAAAAACAGAAACTATTTCTTATTAGCACAGGCATCCAGTGCATATTTATTGAGATTAATGCATATTACTGAAAATTACATTCATGTTTTTCAGATCCAAGAAACTGACAGAAATAATGAGCAAGAAAATGATTATGAAGAGGATATTGCCTCATTTTCCACATATATTCCTTGTAAGTTCTTCTATGTTTTATATACATGTGGCATGTTCATATATATGTATCACGTATATATAGCACATATGTATGTGATTTATGGAATATATAACTGAAAAAGTAAGACCGAAGAGATGTGGAAAGATATTTAATTAACTGACTTTTAACTTGTAATAGAGATACTACATCATATTGCTAATTTAAATACTTTTATAAGTTCAAGGTTTAATAATCAAATATTGATTTTTCCTACCCAGAGGGAATACACATATAACTCTCTTATGACTATTTGATAACTACGTTTTTTTAAGTTTTTAAAAAAAACACATAACCACATTCTTTGTAGACCTTAGTTTTCTGTTATGAAATGAGAATGTTGAATTAGAATACTCTCTAAGATCCTCCCTGGCTCTATGTCTGAAGAATAATCAGCATGTTCCTACATGTATATAAACATATACATATATAAACTCTACCCATTATGCCAGGTTTTATTGGCATACAGCTCAACATCTTCACCAGCATGTCTGATAGGAATCTCACACCCAACATTTTTGAAAATTCTGATTCCTGCCATTGCCAAAGCTCTCCACCTGACTTCCTCATCTCAGTAAGTGAAAACTCCTTCCCTCCTTTGTTCAAGTCAGTTCAAATGCCTTGAAAGTCATCCTTCATTTTTTTACTTTGTCTCCTACCCCATACACAATCTGTCATACAATACTGTTGACTCTACCTTCAAAATATTGCCAGCATTCAACCATTTCTCTCCTCTTTCATTGTTATTTATCCTAGTCAACAGTGTCATCAGCTCTCCCTCTGTTTACTGCAATAACACAGTAGATAAATGGAGGGCCATTGTCACCCCCTAAATTGCAAGCTTGGAAATAAATAGAATTTTTTCTATTGTTACGACTCAGGAGAAAGGATTGCGACTGGTATTTATTGGGTAGAGACACCAGGAATGCTGCAAAATAATGTATAGGACAGCCTCTCACAATAAGAAAGCCTTTAATAGCAACTTATACATTTGCTGTCTCTGATATTCTGTGCTCCATGAAAGTACTAAACACTTTCCTGCTTCAAATCCTCTAATACCTCCCCATTGTACTCATAATCTTTCTCAACCCCTAGAAGGCCCTAATCTTGTGTTCCCATCTCCCACCACTCTCTTGTTCACACACCAATAATGTGCCTGCCTCAAGGCATTTGCACTTTCTTTTCCTTCTATATACCTTCTCCTTATATGCCCAAGGCTTGCTTCATTACTTCTTTTTTTGTATTATGACACCCTCCTCTACTGTTGCACTTTATTTCACTTTACCTGCTCCTTTTCTTCATTCACTGATCAACATTTAACATAATATATTATTTATCTGGTTGTTGTTTATTGCCTGTCTTCTCTTTCTAAAGCACATGCTCAAAGGCATTAGGACTTTTTATTCACTGTTTTGATTGTATCCCCCGCACCTGTAACAGAATACAGTCTATACCCAACAAACATTATTGACCACAAGTTTTTCAAATGATGGGGAACTGCAAATCAAATGAAGTTACATACAATTAAATGCCTTCACTAGCATACTTTGGCAAAAATCAGTAAACTCATCAAATTATTGCAGGACATGAAAAATGCTAAATATTAAAGCAATGGATTAATGCACCAAACTTTAAAGGTATATATCTTATTTTAATTATAATAAAAGTGATTATAATTAAAATAATCATTGAAATGACAATATATTTATCATAATGCCTAATTTTCAGTAGAATTGACTGTAATAAGAAAACATTATTTCAATTCTTTATGAAGAAAAATTTCACTTTCACAGTTTGGAACTAAAACTCTCTTGTATATGAAACTGTGTATGACTGGGCTCAGGCCAGTCTCTTTCATGAGAGAGAGAATGAAGCACAGAACCCTAGCTCAGCAGATTTCCAGTGGTATTATCATTACTACGAAGCATGCTAAAACATACTAACTCATTAAATTTGACTTTCCAGGGCTGGAAACCAATTTTGGGCATATTTGATGACAAGTACTATACAGATTCTGTTGCTTATTCAGTATTAAGAAACACTGAATATATAAACAGAAGTGTGGCTAAGAGTAATTTCCTATAGCAGGAATGTAATTCTGAGTTGATGACTGATTTGTCCATACAGAAATAATAAAGTCCCTTTGCTAGCCTGAGCAATAATTTTTTTCCATCCAGTCCATCAACATTTCTAGAAACTACTTAATTTCAGGCTCAGTGTTTAGTATTAAGGGTAGAAAGATGAATGAGATCTGTGCAGACAGTATACAAAAACAAAAGGCTATCTACTCTCTCCAGGCTGGTAATTAGAATATTGGTTTACTTCTAAGCACTGGAAACTGTATGTTTCTTTATCACATGAAAGAATAGAAAAAGAAAAAAAGAAAATTCCATATAGTAATATGAGCTACCATCAGGGGTATGATTTTTCTACATGACTAATTTTTCTCCTATGGAGAAAAATTTCTGCAGTGTAATTCTTCATTTTAAAAAAGTCTTTCTTCTCTACATTCTGCTGTTTGGCATTTTAAGTTATATTTTAGCTTAGCAACATTGTAATAAAGCAATTTCTTGCCTTGACAAGGACAACAGTTCACTTATTCACAGGTCTGTTATAGAGGTTCCAAAGTCTGTTTTAAATTTTTTTGAATCCTTTCTTTAGAGAATACTTTTATAAAAAAATTTTAATGAAAGTTTTTTTCTAAAGATTTAAAGTCATTGCATTATAATTTCTTTTTTTCTGTTTTCTTCCTGAGTGTTTAAAGAGCATTTACTGGATATGATATAAAAACAAATAATTACATGGTTCTTAAAGTAGAGGTGATTCGGATTATCTGGTTAAATGGTAGAATGCATTTGTAGGTGAAGGAATTGAGCCTCGGAAAGATTTACCTACTGTTGGTTATTTAGATACCTTCCCCACCAAAAA